TCCTCCTCTCCTTCTTCCTCCCCTCCCCCTCCCCCAGTTAACATTCATCATCTCATATAAATACCATTAAAAGAAAAAAAAAGGTCTCTATGAGATGAGCGTTCTTAAGATCTACTCTACTTCTGTTATATAGTAAGTTTTAATGGTTTTCTTGTAAATCATGCCGCAGCAGTAACTATAGTCGTGTTGTACATTATATCCCTAATATTTATTTATCTTGTAACTGGAAGTTTGTTTTCTTTTGACGACGTTCATCCAGTTCTGTCCCACTGCAGCTGGTAACCACAAATCTGATATCTTTCTGTTTTGTTTGTTGTTTATTTAATATATAAGTGAACTCATACACTGTTTGTCTTTCTCTGTGTGACTTAATATAATGCCTTCAAGTTCCATCCACGTTTTCATGAGACAAAATTTCTTTAATTTTTATTATGACTGAATAATGTTCTCTTCCAGTGCAACTGAATATTTTTCTATATACAATTATATTTCAATATAGATATACACACATACAAACATCCCCCCTTATTTATCTATTCATCTACTGATGGACACAGGCTATTTCTCCATGTCTTGCCTATTGTAAATAATTTATCACTATTTAAGTCTGGAAGGCCTACAGATGGAGGAGGGAAGATGCATTCATGAAATCAGACACACACACGCACACTCATGCGCACAGCCAATAGCCACAGTTTCCAGGCCCAAATGAAAGAGGAAGGTGAGGGCCTAGCCTTCTTTTATCCCTTTGGAACTTCTAGGTCACCCAAGGACTGTTTGTATTTAATTGGGATTTCTGGACACCTGGAAGTTTCAGGTTTACGTGCTGCCTTCTGCAGTTGGCAGGGCAGGCTGCCAGTTTCGTTATCACTGCTTGGGACTTACATTTGCTTTCATGCTGCTCAGTGGGCATCCCCGTGCTTTTATGACATGCTGTGAATCTTGCTCCAGGTGGAGATGCAATACAATGAAATATTTAGCATGTCCTTGAATAGGCTACCAGGTGATGGAAACCAGTCGTACTGGCTGCTAGCTATCGATTACAGAGAACATTATGTACTTTGGTTACCAAATGGATTGGAGGCCAAGTTGACATTTTGTGAGAAAGTCTGTCAAAGGTTAACCACATTTTCATTCAATGGGACTAATACTGGGTGCCAGGGAGCTTTGTGCTTAGTACAGTGGTGGTACTGAGGAGCAATTAACCAGGTCTGTGTGGACTCTTCCCAGGAAGGCTACTTCAGCTGCCCGGAAAATTGCAAAGGGTTTTGCTGAGAAGGTAAACAGAAAAGGGTAACCTAGGCAAAGACGCAGAGCTGCGGGAAATAAACTTGTTCAAGTTTGGTTGAAACTGAATGTGCAAGGTGTGTGCTAGTGAGAGATGAGCACAGGTGCTGGCCCATAGGAGTCTTGAATGCAAAGAAAATTGGAATCTGCAATGGGAGATGAGGAATCATCGAAGAATTAAGTTAGGAAAGGCATGTGTGATTCAGGCAGTTCAGAAAATCCATTCTGCTAGGTTTGGAGAGAGTGAGTATATAGGTAGGTGGACATAGGATGAGAGGAAGAACAGGTGAGAGATGGATTCTAGGGGACACTTGCATTGAAGGCACAGGTCCAGAAAGTCAGAGATGGTTAGAGAAGGACTGCACAGAATATGGTGGTGTGAAGTCAGATGGGGCAGAGTGTTCTGTCATGTTCAAGTGACATGGACATGGACCGCCAGGGAGTGACTAGAGTCTCTGCAAAGCTTCTGCACTGTCAGAAGTATGGGGACACTAGGGTGAGGAGACTGAGGCCTTTGACTTAGACATAACATTTAAAGGGGTGCTCAGAGGCTCAGTAATTGAGATAAATACTTTTGGAGAGCATAAATTTCATTTATTAGATAAATTATACCTTAATGCAATATTTTCCAGGAAAAATTACATGATGTAGAAACCACAATGACAAAGTATCAAAGTTTAAATAGAGACAACATAGTGT